GTATACTGTTTGGGAGGTCTGCGGTCAAAATTTGGTCGAGGTCTAGGGAAGTTTTGACGTGGGGGAGGTGATTGATAGTGGGATGGTTGGGTGTTGTAGTCTTGGTAAACATGTACTGGTTGGGAGTATTTAGGTGAAGTGGGCTGATATGCGGTAGGTGGAGCTGACTGATAAGTGGGTGGTGGAGTATGGTAAGAGGGTGAGGGTGCTTGGTAATTTGGAGTAGGTTTATATGTGGGTGGAGGCATTGGGTAGGTTTGGTATTTGACAGGGGATTTGGTCCTCTGTGCAACCATTACAGCACTTACGTCCCTTTTCTTAGACGTACCACCAGATTGTAAAGCCTTATTGGTAGCTTGCAAGGCTTCAAAGTTCGTAACCATACCATTCTTGATGCCTTCCTCGATCCTTTCTCCTAGCTTGATAATGTCAGAAAATTTGTGGCCTTTGATCATAATTAGTCTCTCATAATACTGTGGATCTTGGGCCCGCGCGAAGAATTTGTTCATTTGCTCTTCTTCCAAAGCAGGCCTATTGAAAGGAATTGTTCCAGTGCCAACTATTTTGCCCCTTGAATCGTCTCCGAATTTTGCACTTCCTCCATCGATCTTTGTAACTTCCTTGAACAGGTTTTTGTCACCTGTCATATGACTGGAACACGCACTATCTAGATACCATTTTCCTTTGCGGCTTACTCTGTGGTGTTCCTGCAAGACAAGATGATCACTTTCTTTTAGGTACCCAAGCTTGCCTGGGTCCTGGTGGGTTAGTGTTACTAGGTTCAGAATTTTTTGGTTTCCTAACCCATCCTGACACATTTGATTTACGAAAGTGACAACCGGAGTATTTATGCCCACTTTTATTACAATAATGACATTTAGCTCCAGACCTGTTTATAGGTCTTTCATAAGTGTTAGAACTAGCCGACTTGGATTTAGCTGGTTCTTTCCCAGTTGACTTGTAAGTCATCTGGTCCGACCGACTGGTCGACTTGGTTCTGACTGGTTCCTTTCCAGTTAACTTGTAAGTCGTCTGGTTTGACCTAACAGAACTATGACTGGTGGATTTGCGTAAGCTGTTAAGCTGCATTTGCAACACCTCAAACTCTTCTTGAAGTACCTCTTTTTCGATTTCACATACTTCATGTTTGAGTTTCCAGTCTTTAACCTCCCTAGTGAGTCTCTTAAGTTCATTCATCATTTTTTGAGACTTTTTTAAGGTTGAAACAAGAATATCCTGCAATTCATTACATCTTTTGCAGTCATAAGATCCTACCTCACTAGTTTCACCCCGTGCCATGAAATAGTTCTCGTCATCTGAATCATCTTCATATGTCCAGCATCCTGAGGTTTTGTTTATTTCATTTTCCAGAACTGTCATGAAACAAAGATTTGCTATTTCTTCGTGGTCTGAGTCGTCCTCATCGCTCCAGCTTCCGAAGGATTTGTTCTTGTTGAAGCCTCTAGAGGTCTTCCTTTTCAGTTCTGGGCATTCAGCTTGAATGTGACCAAATTTTCCACATTCGTAGCATTTTCCATCGTTCTTATCCTGTTCATTGTATTGCCTGGATCGTCTTGGTGGGAATCTTCCTTTCTTTGTGTTTCTGTATCTCCTCATCAACCCATCCATATTTCTTGACATCATAGCAATCTCTTCTTGTAGAGCTTCAGGATCATCATTTTCATTTTCAGCCATTTCAGTAGAGGTTTTGAATGCAACTATTTTCTTTTTCTCCTCTTGATTTGTCTTTTTCAAATGCGTCTTTTCGAAAGCAATGAGTTCTCCTCGCAGTTCATCATAGGACAATTTGTTTAGGTCTTGAGATTCCAGAGTGACTACTTTGGTCTGCTAAGTGGTTGCAGACTTCTGAGAATTTTTCTGACTTGATCACCACTGGTGTAGGGCTTGCCAAATGCCTTTAAGTCACTAATTATCTTACTAAACCTGGCAAACATTTCTTCAATGGATTCTCCTTCTTTCATTGAGAAGAGTTCGTAGTCATGAACTAGCATGTTGATGTGAGTTTCCTTTACTTTGATGGTTCCCTCATAGGTGACCTCAAGTTTATCCCACATCTCTTTGGCTGTATCACAACTCGATATTTTCTCGTATTCCTCACCACTTATAGCATTGTGAAGCAGATTTCTTACCTTGTTATTCACTTGTGCCGCTTCCAGTTGCTCCTTTGAGTATGAATCTATATCATCAGGATCAGCAAGTGGTGGAGTGCTAGCAGGTAGGGGATAGTTTCCCTTTTTAATGACTCTCCAGACTTTGACATCATATGCTTTAACAAAGATTTCCATTCGTACTTTCCAGTGAGAGAAATGTTGTCCATTGAAGTATGGTGGTCTAACTTGTGAAATTCCTTCCTGAAAGAGAGCTCCTATGATAACTTGATTTGCCATGATCTTTTCTCACAAGCTGTTAAGCAAAAAGTAAAATGTGAGCCTTGCTCTGATACCAATTGAAAGTACAAGAGGGGGTGAATTGTAAATAGTTCGAATTAATTGCTTATAAGTTGACTTATAACTAGAGTAGTCGGCTGAATATGATAATTTAGCAGATATGGTAACGAAAAGTAAAATGCAGAAAATAATTGCAGGAATTAAAAACACCGGAATTTTTATATTGGTTCGGATTCAATGTGAATCCTAATCCAGTCCCCTTGGGTTGCAAGGGAGTTCTCTTCAGTAAATGAGTTTCTTCCGAGTACAGATGTGGTGTATATCGTTCAGTTTCTCTAGCACTCGTTTTTGATACAATGCCTCACCAGTTGTGTGCTCTCTTACACAGCAGATCTTAGTGAACTACAATGCTTGTTTGCAGTAGAATAAAGAGAGTGCTTTGGTTTGATCAAAGTATGTCTGAGCTAGGGTTTACAAGGGAGTATAAATACTTTGATGGATGGTAGAGGCTTGACAACCCAAGATATTTGATCCTTGGAAAGAATTTACTCTTTCCAAGAATAAGGAATGAGCCGTTGCTTCTCTTGATTACTTTCCTTCAGCAGAGGATTGCTTCACTTGATTTCTCCTTGATTGTTGGATCTTCCAAATGTGGTCGCTTCCCAGATCTCCTCGTATCATTTAGTCTTCCGTGATTCTGCCCATGATTCGTGCCTTTGTCCAAGGCTTATTTGATTTTCTCCAGCTCAGCTAATCATTGTTATTGTTGATTGATTCGTTGATTAGATTGCGCCCAGATTTACGAGACCAATCCAGATTTGCTGATCACATGCTGATTGATTTCTTTCTTTGTACATCATGAACCATTCCAGCAGTCTTCTTTACTTCTTGAACTTGATTTCCTGCACATGTATATTATTTGCATCATTAAAACATGATCTAACAGATTATGATGAAGTGATAACTATTTGTCTAATAAGTTTTTACTTAGCGTCTGGACATATATTTGGTTGAAACTTAAAAAAAGTAAGTTTTTGAAGATGAGATGATTTTTAAAAGTTAAAATTGTGTTTGGACATGTGGTCGTCAAGTAATAGACTACTGAGTAGAGTATCGTTCCCACATAGACTTATGATTAGCTTTTGACTGATTCAAACTCAATTAACTTATCGATTCAAGAGATTTTTCACAAAATGTGTAACTGACTAAATTTACTGTCTAAGGACTATCAAGCAACAAAATAACTAGAATTCAACCAAAACACTTAAGCAATGTCGGATAACAATCAGTAGGAGGGGATATTCCAGGGTCATAGGTTAGCTAACAAACATGTTGCGTTCTCGGTTCAAAATGACTAATGATTTATCTAGATTGCTGATTGACAGGGTTGATATTACTCATAAGAATCTGTCGAATTCTTACCCGCCTATTCAGGCTAACTACTTAATGCCAATATGTCTATGGAATTAAGATTAACAAGAATTCATTTACACTTCCTGTATTTCAACCAAGCAAGGCAGTTAGGTATATTTCTATCCTAATTGCGAATCTGTTCTCCGATGCCGGGTTCAAGAACTTGCTCTATTTAATTCTATATGCAATCTAGAATTCCACTTTTGAGTTCAACTCTAGATTCGTAGATAGTGTTTCACTGTTAGCTACTCAGCAAAATAATTAAAAACAGAATTAAATAAACTACCCAATATAATAAACTCAAACTCGTCAATTTAAACTTCAAACCTCAACATTCATGTAGCCCCCATAACCCCAGAATAATAGGGTTCTTAACCAACCATGCTCATGGTAACAATCTAAAATAATTCCCAAGAATGCATAAAAATTAATAAAAGAAGGAAAGTAAGAACTCAAGACGAATTTCGTGGTTTCCAAATTTTGTCGTGGCTTTCTCTCGCTTCCCAATATGTTCGATGACCTAAAACAGGCGTTTTTGGCTTATATATTGCGTATAGAAGTTGTGGGCCAAAGTTCTCCTACTCCTAATCCGACTCAGCTTCAGGGATTGATGCTGAGGTGGATGTTCTTCAGCTTCGCATGCTCGGGTGGATTCGTCTGTCTCTGATGTGCCCAGGTGCGGATGCTAAGGAGGATGCTATGGTCTGACTTCATTTCCAAGGTTACACGAAATATGATTTTTTTTTCATCCAACCTCTCCTCCTCTAGCTAGAACACCTTTCTTCATATTTTTGCACTACAAACACCCTAAATCATCACACACAACTCAATTAGTCATAAAACCAATAGTTAAACCATGTTGGGCATAAGATCAAATAGCATCAAAAAGCAGTTAAAACATGAGTGAAGTAACATTAAAACATATAGAAATATGCCCAACATCAACATGCATTTTACTTGAAAAGAATTTGAAACTATATGAGTAGAAAACTTCAAAAACTACTCAAAAGCTGTTTTTGGGATTTGAAAATTTTGTCTTCAAAAAATGAATAAAATTTATAAACAAACAGATATTTAAGAAAATAAAGACCCAAATTTTATGGCCAAACGGGAGCTGAGTTTTTAGTCTTGAAAATTGAATTCACCTTTAGTACAATGTATTTCTCGGCATGAATTTAAATTAATTGGGTGTCAAAACTGGTACTGAATGAAAAAAAAATGATGCAGGTAAATAAACCATGTAACCATTGATCTTGCCCATGCGTGGTGTCAGTCTTTGTGGCTTAAGGACTGTAGCAAAAATGAATGATTCTTATGTATGGTAGAAACAGTTGAAATTTTTTACAGCTTTGATGTTCTGTCCCAGTGTCCCTTACTGCAGAACAGTACATTATGGTAATATTGTTGCAAGATTTGGGTTTTATGTGTATTCTCTCTTTCCATCTATTCTTAAAACTTGATACGGAGTAACATTATTTTGTTAGATAGGAAGTCGTACCACGATACAATCTCATAAAGTCATCAGGGAAAGTGACAAATTTGTGTAAGCACCAACCTATTCTAGATTAATATGTTGCCAAATTTGTCCAGACATATTTTCCAAAAAAACTTTTTCAGGTCGATAATAGTAGCGGATATAGAATAAAATGTATGATAGTCTATTACCATCAAGGAGCGTCGTGGGATGATTAAATGTCCCTGTCCTTAATCAAAAATTTTGGATTGAAAATTTTCTTGGTAGGGAGGATTTTTAACCTTAATTGATTTCGAATACCAGATTATTGAAAGAGAAGACTACAGTCAGTTATGGTTCACTGCAGCTACCGATTCATGTGTGTAAGAATAAGATCAAGTGTTGAAAAAAAAAAGTTATTCTCACAAGATTCCAACAACTTCCTAACGTTAATCTTTCTCATTTTAACTGTATTATATTCTTATATTATCAAGTCATCCAGAAAAAAAGGTTCTTTTAATTTATTTGGAGTTTAAAATGGACGTAAGGCTTTTCTCTGCGGCCACTCTCATCCCGAAAAGCAAACCCTTCTTAAATTCCAGTGGCTTTTCGATTTTGGCAAGTACTATTACTTATGAGTATTTGAAAATAGTAAGTAACGCTAATTAATTAGTTCCAACGTTTAAAGAGACGAAATTTTGTTCCATGATAGGTTATTTCACTCCTTCAAATAACATTAAAGCTGAAGAATTCATCTATTTTTATTGGTCTCATGACATGTATTATTAAGCGTCTTTCATAAAGCTTTAGGCATAAAATTATATAGAATAACATACATATAAAGCAAAATTAATATTTATATCTAAGTGAAAGGTAATGTGACATAGACACTTAGGCAGTACACAGGTTTCTCCAATAAAGAATATTAATCACTATTGCACACCTGGTGCATTTTCCATCCTTTGATTGTTTCTGAAACACTATGTTAATTAAATCATCCTATGATATTCTGAGATGATTAGTAGTGTGATTACGGGAATATATCTTTATTGGTCAAAATTTTGCTTCATATATACCCCACTAAAAGACTATAAAAGAGTAAAAAAGAGTAAGCATATGCTTCTCTCTTTAAACCAAGTACTCCTTACATTTCAATTTAGATATGTAGTTTGACTTGGCACAAAATAAAAATAAAAGACTTGATATATGTGGTGCTAATAAAAATTTAAGGGACAAAAGCTTTGTGGGGTCATGATATTTGTGTAGTTATAAAAGCTTCTCATTAAGGATAAAGATCGTAAAATAAAAAATTTAAAGTTAAATTGTTTCTAAATATACCAATATGTCATTATTTTTGGAACAGAGTGATAAGAAAAGTGTCATATAAATTGAAATGGAGTTATTAATTAGAGAAATCTCAATGTGCTTTTAAAGCATATATGTCTGCCACAGAGGCAGACGAAAATGACACTGCTTCGCCAGAAAAAAAATACTAAATGTTTATATTAATATTTTGTAAAAACGAGGCAATATATAATAATGACACCGCTAGCTTCCTGGCAAAGAGTATTTTTTGATCCACTGATCAAGCTTATATTTGGGTTTGTAGAGGTTGTAGATTCGAGGTTGGACCTAGACATTCTATTTTTTGAACATCTTTGAGCGAGCAATTTCGTTAAGAATTTGAGGCTAAGGAAAATTGAACATATGCGTCTTGCGCAGTAATATTCAACTAAAACCATTGAGTCAAGAATTTCAACTTGTAGGAAAATAATAGTATTAAATAATACTTATTTTTATTATTTATATAATTACAATACTGCTTACAAAAAGTTTTGTGTACATCCCTGGTAGGCCAAGTTTAATTAAGGGAGAAAATCAGTATAACTTTAACTTTTTTTCAAGTTAAATGCATGTCCAAACACAATATCATTAATTTGCTAAAAAATTTTAACTTTAAGGTAATGAATTGAGCAAGGACAAAGGAATTCTATGACGTGAGCACCACTGCAGTGAGAGAGTATGTCCTAAGAGTTGTGACGTAAGCAGCTTACCTAATGCACGCAAGCATTTTTAGCTGATTTTAGGGCTTAGAACCCATAATTTATAAATCACACAAAAATAACTTTACCGTTAATCCAAAACTCCTTCGAATAACTAACTCTTTTGCATCTAAAAGAAAGATAGAAAACCGTACAACCCAAAATCTATGCTTTGGTTTGATATAGGATGTGGCTAGCAGAAGTAAAAAAGAGAAACTCCATTTAAATCCTGGTAAAAGCATTACGTTAACCGTCACCTGAGTGTGTATCCGTCAACTGTTGCGGTGGCGGAGAAATTTTCCGCTTTTTCTTCTTCTTCTTCTTATCATAACTAACTCCCCTCGCTTTAGATTGCAAATCACGAACCTCCCGAAGGTAAAGCCTAACAGCTCGAGCACCAAACGGATTCGTCTCAGGTTTTCCACCATTTTCTTCAAAAGCAGCTCTAAGACGACCAATAAGTGCGTCAAGACTTCCCCATGCTTGTTTAACCGGGCACGGACATGGTGCTGGAGGATTCGGGTGACCATAAAAAGGACACATCTGTCAAAATGACAATCAGTCTTAGGGCCCATTTGGCTATATAATAAAATTCATTTTTTTTCATGAAAATTTGAAATTTCCCTTGGAATTAATTTCAGAATTTTTTAGAAATATGAAAAATTCTAAAAAGCTATTTTTCAAAGTTTTCACTTTACAAAAATTCAAAAGCATCTTCAAATTGTATTCATCTCCCAACACAACTCTAATTTTTTTTTTTTGAACCCAGAAAACCTACAGCCCCTACAACCTATGTCTTTCGGGTGAGCACTCGATCTGTGCGCACTACGTAAGCTTGCAAATCACACAAGGAATGTAAATCGCACTAGGCAAGCCCTGTGCGACAGGCTCGACCCAGAAGGCATTGAGGGCGGATTGATCCCAGGTCATCTGTATTGATGACTGTCATCCAAACCACCTCGGCCGGCCGCGAAGGAATTCACAATTCTAATTTTCAAATACTATTTTCACTTGAATTTTTAAAAAAAAATAAAATTCTGGAATTTCATAATTTTGATGTCCAAACGCCCACTTATTATTGACTAAAAAAAGTATTTATATAAACAAGAGAATATATTCCTACCGGAATATGAACCTTAGTCTTGCCGAATTGATCAAGGTAACGAAGGAATTCAAGGACGTGAGCACCACTGCAGCGAGAGAGCGTGAGTGGAGGCCTATGATTTTTTAAGTACTGTCCGAAAGTGTTCCAATCTCTTCGTTTCTGATTCTCATATCTGCTCGAGGTAGACGCCGTTGAAGAAGAAGAAGAAGTAGTACTTCCAATATTAACATTATTATTATTGTTGACGTCGTTATTGTTCTGGTGGATGTTGATGTGGAACTTGGAACTGTCCATGGGTTAGATGTTTTTCTCGTGAAATTTTTTTCTATGCCTAATTTTCTCACTAAATAAGAAATTAAAAGCCAAAGACTTGTGACGAATTACTATACTGTCACAAATTCTAATACACAGAAAATTAAAAAAGAAAGAAGTACACTATTAGAAGTAGCAAAAGAGAAAAAGAAATGAAGATATATAGTTTGATGATGATGAAGAGATTGATGGGAAAGTGAGAAGACTAGTGTTCACATGGAGTTTTCTTTGTTTGAACAATACTAGAAAATATTGGAAGATTTGTAAGCTTTGTTTTCCTGAAAATGATCAACAATTGGTACTCTTTTTTGCTATATTAGGGGAAACAACGACTAAACACTTCTCTATATCTTAAATTCATATGCATATAGTATTTGGTTTTTATTGGTCAGAGAGGGAGAGAGAAGGAGAGCAGAGGGGGAAATACTGTTTTGATCTTTTATGGAAACGAAATGAAAGGCAAGTAAATAAAGAAGAAAAATGTGTGTGTTTGTTGATATATAAATAAAAAGGAAGTAGCTAGACATATGGTTGTTTTCTTTAATTTCCATGACTGTCTCAGCTGATTGAATGACAGTTCGATGACCAGTTTGCTTAGCGACCAAAACGCCCTTCGCTACACGTGGGAAATAATTACTCTCTTGACTACCAGCCCGTTTGGCCAAACTGCAAATATCAGCTTATTTTGAAAAGTGTTTTTCTCAAAAGTGATTTTCTCAAAAGTACTTTTGATGAGAAGCAGTTTGTATTTGGGTAATTAATTTGAAAAGCACTTCTGAGCAGCAATTAGTTTTGGCTAAGCTTTAAAAACTGATTCTAAGTGTATTTTTTTCAAAAGTGCTTTTCAGAAAAATGCTTTTGAAGAGAAGCTACTTTTTTCTGTTTCTCCAAAACTGCTTCTGCTTCTCCTCAAAAACACTTTTTTTTCTTTTCAAAAGCTTGGCCGAACACCTTAATTTTAGAAAAAAAAAACACTTTTGATAAAAAAAAAGTGCTTTTGCCTCAAAAGAAGCTTGGCCAAACAGACTATAAGTTTTAGCAAGCGTTTGACCATAGATTCCCAAATTTGTTTTGAAAAATCTAATTTGGGTGAAGTTTGGTTTGAAGATGAAAATGTGTTTGGACATACGTTTTCAAAACATATTTCCCAAATTTGTTTTGGAAAGACATGTATATTATTATAAATATTTTTGCCCAAAACCATTTGGGATTTTTCTAAAATATAGGCAAAATCTATGGCCAAACATGTGTTTGTCAAATAAAACCCAAATTTATTTTGATAAAATATATGACCAAAGGGTCCTTATTCTCCTCATATTTTTGGTTGAAAATCCCGCACAGGATAGAGCTATACGGTGTTTCTGGTCTTTTGTTTAAGAAAAGAAAAGAAAGCAATAGAAACAACAACAAACTCAGTGGAATCTGCACACAAGTGAGGTATGCGCAGGGGTGGTTCAAGCACATGTATGACCTAAAGCCAAAATTTAATGCGAGACCTAAACTTTTAAGAGACGGTTGAACACTTGAACTAATGAAATTTTGGAAAAAGAAGTCAAGTAATGAAATCTTGGATCGGAGAAAGAAGGTGAATAAGAATACCGAAGAGAAAGACAGAAAAAATATAGGAGTTTATGAAATATGAAGAGATTAGAAACAAAAAAATTACTTGAACAAATTAAGGAAGAAAAGTAATTTTGTTTACATGTTATCTAATAAAAGAGTAAAAAGTTAAATTATCAAATCAACATAAATTGAAACATTGAAAAAATAATTCATCTATCCATTTTTTAGTAAGTCAAATGGTTGCTTTATTTATATATCTAAAAAGTTTTATGTAATATGAAAAATTCTACTTTTGTATTAAAAGTACTAAATATTTTTATTTTTTAAATACCTATAAAGCTATTATTTTTTAAAAATAAGGCCTCCCAAATTTGGGGGCCTAAGGCACAAGCCTTACATGTGATAACACTAGAGCCGACCATGGATATGGGAATGGTACATATATACATACCTTATCCCTATCTTGAGAATGTAAAGAGGTTGTTTCGGTAGACCCTCAGCTCAAAAAAAGATGAAAAAAGAAGCAGTAGCAATAAACAATAACACTAGCTATCAAATTATAAGAACATTGAAAGCTAAATAAATAACAAATAGTAACAGAAATCTACGACTACAAAAAATACAAGATCAACACAAATACTACTGGTATGAACAAGGGAAACGCTCAACTACTTAATCTTTCTCGACCTCCACACCCTCCTATCAAGGATCATGTCGTCCTTGGTAAGCTGAAGCATCGCTATGTCTTGCCTAATCATCTCTCCTCGATACTTCTTTGACCTATCTCTACCTATTCTAAGACCTGCCAAGGTCAATCTCTCACACTTCCTAGCGGGAGCATATGTGTTTCTCTTCTTCACATGTCCGAACCATCTTAGTCTCGCTTCCCGTATCTTGTCCACCACAGGAGCCACGCCCACCTTATCTCGAATAACGTCATTCTTAATCTTATCTATCCTGGTATGCGCGCACATCCTTCTCAAACATCCTCATCTCTACTACCTTTATTTTTCGGTTATGGAAGTTCTTCACTAGCCAAAAATCTGTCTGCTGAGTATTGAAGTTTTGATGATTAACAAAGTATGACTAAATGCTCAAAGAATCAGGTCTTCGATGTAGCTGCTTATCTGTTATGAAGAACCAGCTCCTCAGGATAAAAGACCAGTTCCTCATGTTGATACTTGTACGTCTGTACAAGATAGTAACTTTATCATAAAGTTACCTAGGTCCGAGTTTGGTGGAAGAAGCCTGCTATATGTGATAAAGGTCGTTGCTCAAGAAGATACGGATAATTCAGTCAAAGCAAAAGTCCCAAAGCTTGTAGAATCTTGGAACAATATGAGTCTTATCAAAGAGGAAGCTAACTATGAATAGGACTCCTAGAAATCTCAAGTTGAAGTGTTTAAATATAATCAACTTTGGACTTCTGAACTATCCTTTCACACATCAACTAAAGTGTCATAAGTCGTTTACTCGAGTCGAGTACTTGCAGTGTATTCTTATTGAGTCAGTCTAGTGAATATGTTTTAGGAAATTGAGTTATAATCAAGTGTCATTTACAATTATTGAGTTGGAGTGAGTGTTTGCTTTACAAGGTAGAGTAACTTATGATTCAAATAGGAGTAGTAGGAGTACTGAAGAGTATTGAATTACACTCTTATAATTGATACATTTTGGCTCATTGTTCTAGTGGAGCTGGAATTGAAAACTCCTACGTAGTAGGTTGTGGTTTTTGCACCTTTTGAGCCGGGTGATTTTCCACGTAAAAATCGTTGTGTTCATTTGATTGCTTATTTACTTTACGTTTAAGGAGCATGTTAAAGAACCAAGTTCTGTAGTAATCTATACGGGCATTCTCTAATATACACGACTAACACCTAGAGAGATCTTGGAAGCAAGATGAGTGCTCCACCAGGAATTAACGAAGGACAATCAACTACCAGGCCACCCCTGTTCAATGAAAAATATTACAGTTGGTGGAAAACTGTAAGGCCCCATAAAATTTTGCCAAGAAATTCAAGGTTTTGTGGTTCCGAGGTAGACTAATGTGCGTTCGGGAGTTGAAGAAAATTTTTGGTAGACCAGGGCATTTCTGTGGTCCACTATGCGGCCGTAGAATCACTCTGCGAGCTGCAGATCGGCCACAGAAAAATGGCCAATTTCGGAGGGTCGTTTTGCGGTCCAATATGCGACCGTATAATATTTTTGCGGGCCGTACGATCCATTGCAGATCCAGCACGAGGATTTTCGGAGGGGAATTCTGCGGCGCATTATGCGACCGTAGAACTGGTCTACGGACCACAGACCTGCCGCAGACCTGACCCGAACAGCCCAGTTCGTGACATCACTTCTGCGGCCCATTTCGAGGACCACATATCCATTCTGCGGTCGACTCTGCGACCGCAGAGCTGTGTTCGGAGGGTCCATTTTTGGTTTCTATAACCCGACCCCAACTTGATTAAAATCCCTTGAGGCTCATTTTGGAACAAAAATCTGACAATTTTAGAGAGAAGAGAGGAGTGTTCTAGAGAGAGAGAGGAGGCAGCCCCAAGTGTGTTGTTCATCAATCCTTGTCCAAGCTTTGAAATCCAACAAGAAAATCTCACAAGATCTTCACCCAAGAGGTAAGGTTCTAACTCTAGTCTTCAATTTCGAGTTGGGCTAGAAGATAGGTAATTGGGAGTGTGATTATTGGGTATGAGAGTTGTTATTTATGCATGCATGTAGCTATAAGGATGGTAGGAAGTTAATTGAGCTAATATGAGTAAACTCTTGGTATTGAATTGGTTGTGGAGTGAAGGAAATCTTGTAGAAGAACCTTGTAGTCAAATTTGCACACCTAATATTTGATAAAATGCTCACATGAGCTGAAACCATGAATAACTTCCTAATTTGTGTTCAATTCTGTTATGTCTCAAAATAGATTGGGATTGCTAGGATTTTCGGAACATTATAGTAACTTAAAAAAAGCTCAAGTAAGGTATGTGGGCTAAACTCCCTCAGCTTAATCAAATTCCATGATGTCCTCATATGTTTCAAGCGTGGTTGTCCCAAGTTCTTATTTTCTCATGATTCGGGTCATTCCTAAAATATTCAATTATTCCCAATAAGCATTGTGTCGGAAATTATATGTTCAAAATGTGATTCAATTTCTCCTATCACATTATGCTCTCCTTCGGGAATGTGTTCATGTGTGGTTTATGTATCAAAATGTTATAATTTTAATCATGTCTGAATGAATGTATTATGCTTAAAATTGGAAAGGAAACTCAATGCTCTTATTGTCGATAACCTATGATGCTGCTTGGAAGTGAAAGAAGCGAGTATTAGATGTAGAAATGTGGCCATCGTGCCAAGAATGAGAATTATATTTGTGGCCAATAGTGCCAATGAAATGAAAGAATGTGTGAAAGATTATGAAATGAGTTTTGACTCCTTTATATAATAAATGTTATTAATGTTATATGTTCACCTATGGAAAGTACAAGTAAGTGATAGTATGAACATAACTGTGGCCGCTTGACAAAACGAGAATCATGAGGCCTTGTATGTTCCAAAGGTTTCAATTATACTATGAATGCTTCTAAATAATAAATGCAAATGACTCCGATGTTAAGTCACCAAGAATCATGAACTTAGCTAGTGACCTTAAGATGACAAGGGGGTATATAATGAGGTGGAAGAGAGATGTCCTATGCTAAATGATGAGAAACCTTAACAAAAGAAATTTGGCTCCATGCGCCACTGAAA